TATGTTGATTGTGAAAAGTTTGAGAACAATACAGGTACAAAGACAATGAGAAAACTAGAATGTTTTCTATTGTTCAGTGAAATGAAAGCTACAGCTGTCTGCAATTGTGTGTGGAAACAGTTTAATAGTCAGGATTTCTACTTTTCTTCTTTTAACAAACATAAAAAAGAAAACTCTTCAGGTGTTTCTGGTCTCTTGACTAAGTTACTTAAAATTGTAAAATACTTTAATAAGTAGAGCTGTTGTGCCGTGACCACTGTCTTATCGTGAGAACAGTTTCTCAGGGGTGAAGACAAGTAACAAGCTATTTCAGGTGTTTTTAAACCACGTAAACTCTCTATAATCTGCATTGTTTTTTCTTTTAAACCCCAGTGCCTCTAGTTACTCTGACCATGGTAATGTTTCTGTAACCCTGTGCACAACAACCACACATCTCTACATCTCTATGAAAAGAGGCTGTGGGTTCTTTCATGTCACAATAAAGACGAATGCAAGAATGAATAAAACTGATACGAGCAGCTGAACTTAAAACCATTGGCTATTCAGCGCGGATGATAAATCCTAGAGCATAATGCCATAGTTTTAAAGCCTTTAAAGGAAAAAAGTGAACTGAAAATAAGATAAAAAATAAAAACGCCTAAAATCTCAAACTGTGTCTCTGTGGTCTGGTTGATGTTTTTGGACTCTACAAGTGAAGCTGTTGCTGTGTCTCTTCTCCACAGTCACTCATGGCATGGTTTCTTACACGTTGTTTGACCTCATTTTAAGAAGGCGTGAGAGTGGCTGATTTATAGCAGAGGGCAGAGTAGGGCTACCCGTTTTCTTAAGTTAGGCTTCTACGGTAACTCTGGCTCACTTTGAGTGCTGTACTGTATATGTATTGACCCTGACCAAGTTCCTAATAAAACAAGATTAATTGGAAGGATGTAACTGAAATAAAAAGTGTGAGGAGCTTACCAGAGCTGTCTGATCAGAAATCAGCACAGTGTTCCTATACATGTCACCATCTCAGGAGTAGCATACTGACGCCTCTACACTGCAGAAGTACGCTACACAGGAAGTGAAGTTTCTCATCTACGCTAAATGTGAGCTTTATTTTAGTCTCAGACAGTCAGCGGCCAGACGTCATGGAGGTCACTGCTCTCCACATCAAACTGTGTGAGTATTGAGTCAGTCTGTTTCACATGATGGTGTCCTGGGAGGGTTGGAGCATCTAGAGCCGCAGTAGTACAGAACATTATTAACCTGTAAATTAACTGTGACGAGTCGCTGTCGAAGTTTCCAGGAGATATTAGTTACATTACATTTGCATTTACAAAATGTAAGCCTGGAAAAGATCTGATGATGTGTTTCTGACAAAACATTCATGCTACTTTACACTTGTACTAGTTTATTATACTTTTAACTCCTTTACATTTACGCTGGTCAGTGACTTGTTAAATACTTAAGATTAAAATTGTACTGTTAGTGTTACATCAACAGATATAATCCATTAATATTATGATGTAATCAGTTTGTTTGGCATGAATGTAATTAGCTGCTGCTGAAATGTTTTTGTTTTTAACTAGCAGATGTGCATTTATATACATGTCAAATATATAACTCTCTTCCTTTGTCTCTCCACAGTGAGGAGTCTGTGGTTGCTGCTGCTGACGCAAGTTCAGGACAATTATTGTGCTTCAAAAGCTGGTAAATAACCAGATTTACCTTTAACCTTCACTCCTTTTGCATGATTCACTACCTCGATTAAAGACATGAGCCAGAATTAAATGTTGTTTAGATACAAAATACCTGTTACTGAAGGTCTAGAGAGGATACCAGGAAGAGAGGAAAGGTATTTTGACATATGCACTGAAGCGCTTTGGCTTCCTTTGCTTAAATATGGTGCTTGTATATCAGTGTAAGCAGTTTGAATTCTGTGTTTAGGAAGTTTTCCATCCATCTGCTTTTCTCAAGCCTTATTCTGTCTGGATTTGATGAACTCTTTTTGACGTCTTTTTCCGTCCCTCTTGTTGGCGTCAGATGCATCTTTTCCTCGCGTCGTTCCCAACAGCCTTCAGCACTTTGAATACCAGCCCATCTCATTTCACTGTGAGGGGTTTGATGGGGAAGTCGGGGGGAGAGTGATGAGTAAGACCCAAAGTAAAAACGCCACATGTGGTACTACTAAATGGCGAAGCTCGGACGGATCCCTCTGCATCATCAGAAATGTTTACAAAGAAGACAGTGGAGAGTACTGGTGTGAGACAGGAGACGGGAAGAAAAGCAACACCGTCAACATCACTGTTACAGGTAATTTTACCCAAACTGTTTTCTTTCACACGCACATTTGTATTAATTATTAATATAGTTTAAAGAGTGTATTATGAGCTAGTAAGACCTCCAGAAGGGTAACTTTAGCTTGCTTCATCTGTTCATACCTGCCATTAAAACATCCAGTAATGCGCCTCCAGTGTAAGTGATTGAGGAGAAAATGCAGGCTCCTCAGTGGGCGACTGTTTTCCTGCTTTTGTGTTTTTAATTAAATCTCTCTTGGAGCTTCTCTATAATAATGGATTGACTGAACAACAAACGAACATGGACGTCTCACTCCAACCAAAGTCCAATGTTAAAGGCCAATGAACTTACTTTTAATGACTCGCCCAATAACATGAAAGCAGACAAGCCACCAATATGGGGATTGTTCAGTTTGTAAAGTCTGGCAATACTTTCCATGAACTTGCATTCAAGTGACCTCAGACTTTCTCTTCAGTGGGTCACCACCAATTTTCAGTTGTATATGGTCACAAATCTATAAGAGTCACGTCATTCACAATAATTATAATACTATATGTTTTGCAGCTGGGTCTGTGATACTGGAGAGTCCTGTCCTTCCTGTGATGGAGGGAGATGCTGTGACTCTACGCTGCAGACACAAGTCAGATTCAACCAACCTCTCGTCTTCCTTCTATAAAAATGGCTGCCTCATCAAGCGCGTCTCAGTTGACAACATGACCATCTCCAGTTTCTCCAGGTCTGATGAAGGACTCTACAAGTGCAGCGTCTCTGGAGCTGGAGAATCAGCAGAGAGCTGGCTGACTGTCAGAGGCGAGATTGTATTACAACTCTTTACCATTATTTATATCAAGATTTACATGCTTGCTGAGCTGCTAATGGTGGCTAGCTAGCTTATCTAATTAGCTGTGGTCAACAGTACTCGGCTTTTGTCCACTGCTGTTGGCCACAGCCCCAAAACATGAACAATTTAAATAGTAAGGTATAACAAAAATATAATAATTTGTATGTTTTATTCACTAAATAGTTGTGTGTTCTGACATTAGCGTTGTCATTCCAGAGTATCACAGAGAGACTATCCACATTTGCTCCGATCAACTTCCTGTTCTCCTCTACCTCCTCATAAGGATGGTTGGCAGCGCTTTATGGACGGCTCTGCTGCTGCTGGTGTTGAGAAAACGTCACTGTGGGAAACAGGTGTAAAAAGAAAATTTATATATATACTATCACCAACCATTTGTCTAATTTCCAGTCACCCTTTCATTTATTCTTTAACTTCACGATAATTAAAATCATGGTATTTGTGAGGTCAAAGCAAGAAATACCTTTTTAGTTGTTGTTTTATAATATATAATAAATATAATTCAACATAGAGAGCCTTTACTTTATCAATGAAATTGTATTTTTGCAAAAAAGAGAAAACTGTTAAGAAAATTATGCATGCAATTTTAAAGCTTTTTCAAATTTGTATTATTGATTATTATTCATCAAGTTTTTTTTATTTATTTGCATTTCTACAGCTGACGAATCTGGACAGAAGAGAAGCTGTGATAACCTGACCAGACAAATTAATGAGTAAACCATGCAACATGTCATCTTTACAGTCAAGTGCAACTGACTTCATCTTTGTTTTCTTTTTGTCTTTTTTCTTTCTGTGTTTTTAATTCAGTTGAATAAAATAACTTTTGTCAGAAGTCTCAGTGACATTTGTAGTGTTTTTAAACCACCCCACTTTTCTATAATGTGAGTGTTTAACCCTGATAAAGCCTGAGCAGAATAACCACAACGTCTCTGCAGCTCTGTGAATAGAAGCAGTGGGTGTGTTCTCACTCACAGGTATCTGAAGTCACGTAGTTTGGTTTTGAGAAGCTGCTGAATCTTTGATATCTTAAATAACTTGTACATCTGAACCCCAACTTATCAGGACAAAGTGCATTATGAGATCAAATAACTAGGCTGCTAAAAATACACTTTTATTTGTTAGTTTATTTAGGTCTGATTCTGGACATTGATCATGAATCTTTGTGACACTAAACACATGAAATAAAGACAAATATCAGACCGTCACACACAAAAAAGAAAGTGCATTTTAAGTAGGCAACATTTATAAAATAATGTCTAAGAAATACATATATATATATAAAAAATAACATATAATGCCAGAATTTTTTTTTATAAAACATGGATATACACAAGGGTGAAGCAGTTCAAGTACAAAAATCAGATTTGTTTGGTTCGCTGATCAAGATAAAGACAAAGTACAGTAAGAGGATCCACCGGCATCATTTTGTTCTGCTGTTTTGGAGCATTATGGATTTAGAGTTACCAATCACAATGACCGGAAAAAGAGTGGTGGATAAAACAGCACCTCTGTACAAACATTGTGCAACACATGTTTTGTGGAAATTAACAATGCCCCAAAACCACGATATGATCCAAACCATGAATTTTTTTAACCATTCCACCCCAAATTTACACTCACCGAGGACTTTAAGAACACCTGTTTACTCATGCAATTATCCAATCAAAGGGAGGAACTACCCAGTATTAATTCCTCAAAAAGTTTGAAGTTGTGTATTTTTGACATTTTTAATTTCTTAGATTTACTGTAATTCATCATGGTTTTGAATTAATCAATCAATTTGATAACAATGCAGTAAGATGCTGTGAACTGCATCACAAATTCAAAGTTAAACAGTGACAGTATTACAGTACACAAAAAAGGCAACATCAATCAGGACAGTCATTATAGAAAATACAAGAATAATCAATTCATATCATCATGAAATATCTCTTTGCATCTCATCTTTTTGACGTCTTACTTGCTCACTGACTTTCTGCATTTCCTTCTTCATTTCATTCACTGTTTCAACCAGCTGTTCCAAGTGTCTCTGCTGTTCCTCTCTCTTCTTTAACTCTTTGTCAAGTTTTGTCTTTTCCTCCTCCCAATCCTCCATTTTCCTCCTCTCTGCCAGAAGCCGCACTCTCTCTCTTTCCTCCTGGTGAAACTTTGCATCTGTGTTAACAGAAAAACAGGAAACCGGCTTGAATTCAGTTTAAACTTGTTTTGTTTATGCTGCATTTTGTTAAGAGAAAGTGTGGAAGTGAACAACACACAAAGAAGAGGCAGAACAGAAAAGTGTGAAAAATTAAAAATATATCTTTTTATAAAAAACAATATTTTACATCACAAAATGTTTCATTAGAAACGTGGATATCAGCTGTTTGTAACACGAATATACTTCTGAAAAACTGATGAAACTAAATTGAATTTTGTTTCCACCATAAACGTCATACCTCAAGGGTCAACAGCGTACTACATTTCAACTTAAATACTAATATTTTAACTTGTATAATGAAATTTCTTGGTTAAACAAATCACTTTTCCCATGAAATACACCCACAATTTACACATTAACCCTTTTACAAACATGAGTTTTCCAAACTGCAGCCAAAGATGAAATGACGTCATGTTTTTAATTAAAGACATGTACTGGTACCTCTCATCAACATGAGGACAGTAACCACGATGATGCTGACAACTGCACCAAAAGTGACTGGGTGGCATTCAACTGAAATGATAAAACACGCAAGAGATCAGTAGAGTTATACAACAGCAAATATTCATGTTTGCCACCAATTCACATGTACAGTTATTTACGGGAATGAACCAAAAACATTTAGAAGAGTCATAAAGCAGCTATTCGGCCATTTACACCTCTATGGTAAACCCAATGACCCTAAGCGCCTTGAAAAACGTCATATACGATGCTGCAAATTGTTGCAGTGCACCATTTAGTAAGTGCTATACGCCAGGTGGTGTTCTAAACATCTGCTGCAGACAGATACAGTGTGTGCACGTCTTGTCCCATATGTTTAATCTGAGACTCGAGATGACTTTAAATGGGCCTGTTCGACACTGTAGTTTCAACTGAAACAGAAAGTAAAAAGTGTTTGAGTACTTATTATGTAAGACAATAAAATGTGCATAGAAAGTCAAACTTATGTAGGGATTTTACACACTGTCAGTTAGTCCCTCCATCGAAGTGATTTAGTCTGAGACTGAGACAGATATGCTTCGACATCAGCACATTCAAAGTTTCTTTCCCTTTCATCAAAGGCTTTGGCCGATAACAGTTTATCACTTTAATGTCTCTGCAATATGGAAGAAGGGAATGTTGGAGATGTGTAATAAGTGGCTGCCTTACAGCAGAGGGCAGAATAGGACTACTTTTATACTTTCATGTGGAGGAGAGAAGAGAAAGAGAAGGAAAGGGTGGACAAAAGTATATGGACACCACCATCTTCATGTCTGTTTTGGTCTCTATAGCTAATTCCCTCCTTCATGACAACTGTAGGGGGGGTGAAGTTTTATATAAGTCACCCGTTTCAATTTTATTCAGGCTTAAATGTATGCATAATTGAGGGCGTGGCCTCTTTAAGTGACAGGTAGGTGCTGTCACAGTTGGCTGGTCACTGAATGTGACCTCTCCTGTTTGTGCTGTTGGTGCGTTTTTGGAGGCAAGCCTCAGGTGGCCATTGGAGGAACTGCAGGTTTTGACACTTCCGTGTTGGCTTAATCTTTCCACAAATCATTTTTTTCAAATCTGTACTTGATTTCCACAACTACAACATATAACCAAAATTATGTGGACAGCTGACCATTGCTATGAAAGTTGAATACATCATTCCAAAACCATGGCCCTTAATTTTCCAGACTTGACAAATCTGCTCCAGAGCCACAGATTACACTAACTGTCTGTTTTCACAAGCTAAATAATAAGTGAATTCAACTTGAAATGTAAAATCTATGGTTCACCCCTTTCAAACATATAAGATTAAATATAGATAAATAATTAACCTTAATTTTTTTTTTATTAGATTACATTTGTTGTTGTTCAAGTTTTTCTACTTTGCACTCAGAAACACATTTGACTCTGTGAATCAGAATATTTTTATCCAGCAGAGCAGCTGAAGCTTGAATACGTTTATACTGTTATAAACTGCTGTGGCTGGATCGCTGCACAGGAAGAGGAAGACCTACATCCTCACCTACATCACATTTTGCTCTCATTCAGTCCGATGCTCAGACAGTCAGCGGCAAGACAACATGGAGGTCACAGCTCTCTGCATCAGACTGTGTGAGTACTGAGTCTGTCTTCATCTGCCATGCAGGCCTATCATTAAACTCGCAGACAGGATTTCTTTAGTCTTTCAGTTGCTGATGAGATCTTTTAATCAACATAGGATTAAAGAAAGAAAAGCTCATTTCTTTATCATAGTTTTGTGTTGACTATCAGGTCTTGCTTTGTCTCCCCAGTGATCATGCTGGTTGCAAACGCTCACCATGGTCTTGCTGAGGATGACGGTAAGTTGCAGTTAGGAGATAATTTCTCTATGATGATGCCTAAACTATTAACATTTTTACTTAATGTAACATAGATTTTACACGTTTTAACTTCCATCCCTGGTTCTCAATTACCAAAAGCTTCATACTCCATAATTATCTTTGCGTTGTTGTGTTCTACATAAATCTTCAAATACAGACTGTATATATAGTATATCCTTATATTAAATTTTTTATGCAGATGACATAGTTGTGTATACATTCGGCTCCTCCTGAGCTCAAGCTATTTATAGTTGTATTTAACATTCTCTCTCTCAAGCCTGTATGGAAGAGAAAATATGTTTTATTCTCTGACTTTATGCCAGTGTCTTTACGATATAGGTTTGTGTGTGGAAAGTACTATACAAATTAACATTATTATTATTATAATAGTACTATATTATCTAAGGTATATGAGATAATATTTAACCATTCGTGGAAGTCAACCATTTCGCGATCTCTCCGTTGCAGATGCAGCTTTGGCTCGGATCATTCCAACCAGACTGCAGCTCTTTGACTACAGCTCTGTCTCTTTTAACTGCGAGAGTGCTGCCACCACGACTGGATGGAAAGTGATGAGGAAGATCAAGGGAGAAGTCAGCACCTGTGTCAGTAACTGGCCGGCAAAAGCAGCATCCGTCTGTTCCCTCAAACCTGTTTATCCAACAGACAGTGGAGAATACTGGTGTGAGACTGGAGACGGAGAGAGAAGCAACGCTGTCAACATCACCATCACTAGTATGTTTACTTTTCGGTTTTATTACTTTATTATTTGGAAAAAGATATTATAATAATCACAATGAAGTTAGTATGTATGCAATAGCTCCTCTCATAGGCGATGTTACAGTGCTTTCCACAAAATGAGAACAAAAACAAAGATACTTTAACGATACCAACAAGGTAAGAAATCAGTAAATAAACATAAAATAAAAATCTTAAATATGAAGCTTATAAACATTATACAATTTCATATTATATCTTTCAACAAACACCTTCTGGCACCTTCTGGTTAATACCTGTTAGAAAACCTCTGCATACGACATCAAACTTTAATAATACATCTAATCTTGCACATTATATAATCTGGTATATGTTATATTTTTACACTGCAAACCTGTCTTTATTATATTTGAGTTTAATTGTCAAAATTCAGGCAAAAATCAGGCAGTCACACTAAGATATGACCTGCATGCAACTTTTTTTCCAGCATTTTAATTGAGGGAAATTTAGTGAAAAGATACTGATACTGAGACACTGTACATATGAATATCATTCACATAACCGTTCAATACATATAAAACTGGTCTTACTGGACCATTGAACCCAGGGGTGCTCCACTTTTGAATTTTAAAACATGTACCTGATAAATATTCTAATTTCTCCATTCAAGACCTAAAAAGGAATAAAAGTAAATTAGATTTAGATCTAATTAAAGAAAATAAATAAAGGTATAAAGCATTTACCTCATGTTTTGTTGCTTGACTTAATTAACTAAAAGCTATATGTATATGCCAAGTTCATTCCCCACTACATGTTTCCACTTCTAGTCTTTTTTCTCCTCCAAATGACTGAACAGCTGATGTACATTTAACTCCTGATTGACATGACTCGTCCTGATCAGCTGGTTCTGTGATCCTGGAGAGTCCTGTCCTTCCTGTGGTGGAGGGAGAATCAGTCACTCTGCGCTGCAGAACTAAGAAGACCTCCTGTGCCCACATAGCTGATTTCTTTCAGGATGACATCCTCATCGGCACTGGCTCCTTTGGAGAGATGACCATCCACAGTGTTTCTAAATCTAACGAAGGGCTCTACAGGTGCAGCATCACTCAACTTGGAGAATCACCAGAGAGCCGGCTGGCTGTCACAGGTGAGAGAGACAGATAGATAGATAGATAGACAGATAGATAGATAGATAGATAGATAGACAAGCGTGACGTTTAGCAGACGTTGAACGTTGGCCGGCTGCGTGCCTGCAGGGAAGACATGCAGTAGCTCAACATGACACAATTACATACAAACTATAATAAATAATGTTCTGCACTGTATATAAATATGAGATATTAAGACTGTTCACAAACTGAAGTGTAAAAACCACAACTTGTTTTACACTTTTTTTGTAAAGTCTAAACAAACTAGATGTGTTGTTTAAAATAGTGAGCTTTAGAGTTGTTGCTAGGCAGACTTCAACCTGATCATGTTACTCTCAGCAAGAAAGTCTATAAATCTATTTCTCAAAATATCTGCTCCTTCAAACGTTAAGATGTACTCCTTCTTCCTCAGTTGCTTTGTTTCTGGTAAATGTATTAATGCTGTGAAATGCTTTTACCGTATTGATGACGTTGTTTGTTGGGTGCTGATGGACTGTTTTCTTTTTTATTACAGTTTTAATTCAATATTTTAAAATGTACTTTTCTTTTAAGTGTCTTGACAATTTTTCTGCAACAAACTGGAACTTCCTCTTGAGACAACATGGACATTGATCTTGTTTATCATTCACTAGAATGTATGAATGCTATATATGATAATTTACCAGTGTTTCATGATGTCACAGCACATGTCTCTCTTGTCTTTGCAGCAGTCCACACAGAGACTCGTCCTCAGACCACTCCTTCCTCAGACTGCTCCTGTCACATCTACCTCGTCTTGAGGACTGGTTTCACTGTTTTAATGGTGGCTCTGCTGCTGCTGCTGGTGGGACGTCTTCACTGTGGGAAACTCAAAGTGACACACTCTCACATGTAAAGGCCACCGGCCAAAACAAGGAGGATGTTGGATGGCAGAAACATTATTTTGGTTTTTAAGGTGTTCTGGTTTATATATATCAACCCCATCTGCTGAGAGTCTTCTAAACACATGCGACTGTGGCTCTTGTGAAAACCACAAACACAGTGGCAGATCACGTAAAAGAGCTACAGCAGCTGTTACACTTACTCCCCCCTGCAAGTTTATTCTCATACTGGCTGTTGAGGTTGAAGTGAAATACAAACCACGTAGGTGCTGGACAGCCGTATTTTAAAAACATTGTATCTCATATCTTGGTTCACTCCAGATGCTACAGATGCAGCTGATAACTTGAGCATCCAACAGAAAACCACACGAGAAACTATATATACACACATATCATATAGAGGGGCGTTTTGACAGGCTTCAAAGCAGCATCAGACTCTCACAGTAAGACGACAGAGCTGGGTCTAAACTGGGGAATAAATTAGGTCACAACTCGTCATTGTCTATAAACTGTTGTAGACCATCGTTTCTTTTATGTTTTCCATCCTGGTTTTATGACTGATCGAGTCTTTTACCTTTGAATGAACAGTTAAACCACAATGTGGCCACAGGAGATTAAATATTAGGCTGGAATAGGATTATGTAGGTTTGAATGAGTGAAGAATAATTTGTGATTTGAAATTTCTCTGTGGAAGTTAATAAAAGTCACGTGAGCTAAAGATAATAATGACTTTGATGATGATGGTTTATTAAGGCACAGCTGGAGAGACTCCAGTCAAGTGTATACGGTCGCAGTTTTCTTGTTTGTGGATGAATTTGCCTTCATTTCACGACACCTTGAGCTCCTTTGATTAACATATGAACTAATTTTGTATATTATACACTGTAATTTACAGCATGAGAAATACAGATCCTCAGAAGTCGAATTGGTAGAGTTTGTATACAATGAAGCTATTTCTTTATATGTCTAAACAAAAGTGTCATTTACTCTTTACTTTAGTCTCATTTATTTGACTCTGTTAAAGCTGATCTCACCACCAGGTGGCGCCGTTTACTCTGATCTGACACAAACTGGACGAATCAATAAATCAGGGCAAAGAATAAAATCTGAGTAAAATTTATTTTAAACTCATTTTAAAGAAACATGAATTTACAGCAGATCATATACCACATCACAGAACAGGCAACAATCTGAAAAATGTACATGAACACTTGTGTTGCTGAAGAGACTCTGAAGAACTGGATTAGTGGATCGACCCACTCAGCTTATTCTCCTTTCCTCATATGTTTGTGTTTCTAAAGTCACATGACCTGGAGGGTGTTAGCTGATTATACACTGAGGTCAAACAAAGGTCACAGAGCTAGTTGGGAATATTTAAGAGAGATTGATCAACTGATGAAACTGGGGATCTGAACTGAATAAACCACATTTTGTGATTTTTGACTAAAGATCATTGATTTATAGATAATTTGTTTTCTCTTCTGTCTCTGACTGAAGTTTCTTCTGAACCTCGTCTCTCTTTTTCTCTGTCTCTTTCAGGTGTTTAATTATTTGTACTTTGTCCATCTCTAGTTTTCCCTTCTTTTCTGTCATTTTCATAATCATTTCATCTGTTGCCTCCAGTAGTTTGTCTGTGTTCACTAACAGTTCTTCATGTTCCTTTTTTGTTCTCTTTAGCTCCGCTATTTTATTGTCACACTCTTTTTTGTCTGTGGCTAATTTTGATTTCTGTTTCTTCTCTTCCTTCTCTATCCATTTCTTCACCTCCGGCAGTAGTGAGGTGACTTTCTCTCTCTGCTTTTTCAGATCCGTCTTCTGTCCTGTCAGTGTTGAAATCACCCCTTCCACATGTTGCAGTTCTTCCTCCTTCCTCTGAAGCTCCTCATCAGCTCTTGCCTTTGCCGTGTCCCAGTACTTCATTTTCTCATGTTCTGTCATGAGATGCTCTCTGGATCTTTGTTCATCCATCAGAAGCTGACGTTCTTTGTTGTTGCTCATCTTACTTTCTTCCTGCATCTTGGTTTCTGTGTGAACACAGGAGAATAAAAGTGAGTTTAGATGAAGCTCACATCTGTTGTGCTCATGTGGTGTTGGCTTTTGATGGAAAAGATATCAAAACAAACTATTTCATTAAATCACAACATAAATATGTTACAATTAAGATACTGCAAAAAGAAATATATTGTCCATCCAGCCACTCAACTAGCTCCTTTCAACGTAAAAGAGCGCCAGCTTTACTCCGAGCATTCTCCACAAGAAACTCATTTCAGTCGCTTGTATCTGCAAACTACAATGTCAGATTTACTGCTGAAGCTGCACCAATCTGCCCGTCAATCCCCTGCTCCATCTTACTCTCACTACTGAACAACACCCAGAGATACTCGAATTCGGGGCAGTAACTAACCCCCAACCTGACAGGAGCAATCAACTCCACATATTTTTTATTATTAATAGTGAGCTTTAGGTTCATAATATCACATCACAATAACCATCAAAGTAACAGGGTTACTAACAATGAATTTGCGACTTACTGTTGTTTTTCCACGCAACAAGGGCAACTGTCAGAAAACACATGAAGCAAGCAACCAGGCTGATGGTGATGCGAACTGAAGAACTAGATGGAGTCATGGAGAAACAATCTGGAATAAAACAAAGAACAAAAATGACATTTCCATGTGTCTGAAACTGACAGTGGGAGCATCATCGTTGTGAACCATTTTTGTACCTGAAACATGAATCTGTGTCTCTCTGGTCTGGCTGATGATCTTCTGTTGGACTCTACAGGTGAAGCTGTTGCTGTGTCTCTTCTCCACAGTCACTCTGCTGCTGACAGTATAGAGGTCATCAGGACCTCTGACTGTCTCTGTAGGTCCAGCAGAGAGCAGCTTTCCTTCACCGTCCAGCCACAACAGCTCAGGCTCTGGATACCAGCCTTCAGAATCACATGTTAAAACCACTGTGTTGCTGTTTATGCTCATTCCAGGTATGACAAGTGAGGAGACAGAACCTGATGAAAGAAAAGGAGAGACATTTACAACAAATATTTTGAAAAGTAATCAAACCTGCAGCAATACAACAGGTCCCTTTGAAATTTGATTAGGCTGAATAATATTTTGGACCCAGGCAGACTTGGGTCCTGGGTCAGGTCTTTGTTACAAAGAACCAGCGATGTCTAGCACAGATTAAGGGAGTTTTCACACCTAAAGCTGGTTTGCTCTGGTCCAATTCAGTTGATGAGTTTATAAACTTGTAGGTTCGGTTTGCTTTCACACAGAGAAAAAATAAGTGAACCAAAATGCATCATTACAAACCACATTCACATTTGCTCCTCTGATTGGTCAGACTGTCTGGAGCAGGATAGTAAACACAGGAAGAGGGTTGCGGGAACTGTCAAGCTCAAACTTGTGAGTTCACCTGCTAGTGGGGTCAGATCGAGTTTTCAGGATGTTGGTTGTTTGTATGAAACCAGCAACCACTTCTGATTTGGCAACAGGTGGTAATAATAAAAATGACACCGTGGCATTCAACATAAAGCATTATACACATGGGTGCTTTAAACAGGACATCAAACCTGCAATATGAAATCCGCACAAAAAACTTAAGACAACTTACCAGCGATAAGTTCAACTGTAGATGATGTACCCTGTGAGGGAAAGTAGCATCTATATCTCCCATTATCAGAGTGCTTCACTGCAGAGAGTTTCAGTGACAGGTCTCCTTGCATCAGTTTCTCGGTAGACAGTGAAGTCCGTCCCTTGTAAGAACTGTGTTGGTTAACCATAAAGTTTTGACCTTGATGCCACACATGGACAAATTTGGGCTCCAGGTCAAGCCTCCCCCACTCCACACTCTGGGAAACAACATCTGCTGCAGGTTGCACGTGGCATGGCAAGATAACGTCATCACCAACTAACGCTACAATCGGTTGAGACGGTCCAACTACCTGAAACTCACCTGGAAAGACACAGAGCTAATTTTCAATCCTGCATTCACAACTGACTGGTGATCAGAATTTCTGTCAAGGCCTGTCCTCAGTTTGCAAGTTACCTCCACAAGACTCAGCCAGTAGGAGAATCACAGTGAGGTGATAAACCAAAGCTCTGAAGGAGCTGAGCTTCGATTTAAGAGAGAGTCCATCATTCAGGGAAAGCATCCTGGAGTTCTGAGGGTAAAAAACAAAATATTAAAATGTTATTTAAAAGAAAGTTTTATGAGTAAACATCATAAATAATCAAAAATAATGTTTATAAACAACTAATTTAATCAAATTTGTCATCATTCAATCAGTGATCAGTCTCCCCAAATCAGAATATCCCCATGATTTTGATCATGCTGTTGAATCTTGCTTTAAAAGGAAGACCAGCAATATGACTTCAGGGCCTGTTCACTGTAGTTACATACATCAAATGTCCATGGATGTGGACATCTGAGTATGATACCCATATGTGCTGTATATGTTGAAAATCTTACTCCAAAACCTTGAGCATTAATACAAGAAATTAAACTCATGCCTCACTACTGAACATGCATTAAAACATTGTTCGTAGATTGTGTTTCTATCACATGAATTAGAGATATAACAGATAGACAGAGACATTCAAGCAGAGAGAGGAAACTGTCCCTGTGCTCAAACTCCCATCACATGCAGAATATAATGCCATATATTTGTATGTGGCATTATATTTGCATTAATTTTGGACTTGTTGAAAATGATGCATAAAGTCTCATTTGCACCATTTTGTTTATGATTTGACTTGATTTAACTCCTGTTGGGAGGAAACTGATGATCTGTTGATTTTGCTGCAGATCAGCAGCTTTCTCCCTTTTTGAGCTTTGAGCTGATCTCACCACCAGAGGGCGCTGTTTACTCTGATCTGACACAAACTGGACGAGTCAATAAATCAGGGCAAAGAATAAAATCTGAGTAAAATTTATTTTAAACTCATTTTAAAGAAACATGAATTTACAGCAGATCATATACCACCAACAATCTGAAAAAATGTACATGAACACT